AAGTTGGTCGATTGACTGTTTTTACTTTGCTGATTGTTAAATTGACCAATAAGAATGATCAAAACCTTGATTTGTGTTACCATTAAAATATACTCTGACCATTTAAGAGATAATAAAAATACCAAGTTAGCAGAAGAACAAGAAAAATTAGTTAATTAGAATTATTCAAAGAGTAAAATACAATATTGTAGTGTTTATGCTACTGCTCATTATAGTTATGATTGAGCCCAAAATGTTTATGTGCCACATTTAGATCAACAAGTAAGTAAAATTTATTACCTTAGTCCATGTAAAGTTCATTTATTTGGTATTCAAGATGAAGCAGTAAGGGAGCAAATTAACTATGTTCCTAATGAAGATGGTACACTTAGTATAATTTTTGATGGAATTAAGAAATTGGATAAAGGTGAAAAGCATTTAAAGGTTACTTGTGATAATGCTGGTGGACAGAATAAAAATAACACTACTATTTGATTTTATTTATATTTGGTAATATGTGGTTATTATGAAAGTATTGAATTGAATTTCATGATTCCTGGACATACTAAATTCAAATGTGATGGTAATTTTGGCATGATTAAAAAACTCTATAGAAGAACAAGAGTAGATTGTTTAGATCATGTAGTTGAGGTAGTAAAGAAGTCTAGTCCAGCAGGATTAAATAAAGCCCAATGTTATGAGAGCGGAAAAGGTTTTCAATGCTTAAAGCAATTTTGGGAATTTATTTTAAGAAGTTACCAAGTATACAGAAATACCAGCATTTTCTTTTTGAAGCAACTAATCTTGTATGGTCAAAGCTCAGGAAATTGCTAATGGACCTTTTGCTGAATTCAATTTATTGAAAACCAAGAAATCAGATATTTTTGAAGAGATTAAAGCTTTATCTATTTTAGTGTTAACACCACCTCCTTTGGATCACAAAAGACAAGAGTATCTTTATCATAATATTCACCCATTTGTGAAAGATGAATACAAAGATATTACTTGTCCAAGACCATTCTATACTGGCAACAAATAAAATATTTAGAACAAAAACACCTCCATTACTTTATCACACTTGTTAATTTGTCCCCCTACTGTCATTAAGTTTAATAAGTTTAATCTTTGACAAATATTGTTAGCTTCTTCCACCTTTAAAATAAAAAAGTACTAAAATAATTTATATACTTAATTTAAGAGCAAATAAAAAAAAATAAATATGGTAAACACAATAAATGAACTCCAAGAGAGAAATAAACAACTATTAGGAGAAGTAGAAAAGTTAAAAGCACCTTTACAATTTAAACAGTTGAATAATAAAGAAATTAGAGCATGAATAGCTACTATTTTAAGTGAAAGTCATTATACTGACAATCCTAATGTAGATGTGGTTGGTGAAATTATGAGAGTTTATTGTGACCAAGAAAAGTGGTCTAATTTTTGTAAATTATATCCTACTGAACCAGCTTGCAGGAATTTAGTTCTCAATACTTATCAATATTATTCTTATTATAAGCAATCAAGTGTTCATTGACAGGTAAGGAATAAGGCTAAAAGAGATATCTTTATTAACCTTATCAAATTAAATTCTGAAGAAAGTAAAGAACTATTTCAAAAGTGGTTGAAAAAAGGCAAAATAGAAGATAATTCAACTCTAAAAGGAATATTGGAAAAAGGATATGAAGGATGAGATTCAATCAAACTAAATTGTTATAATTATTATGGCCTTAGAAATCTTTCTCTTGATGAGTTAGTCAATAGTTTGAATGAATTAACTTTTAAAACTAAGGAAAATTTTGATAAAGTGGCTAAACAAAATCAAGAATATGAAGAAAAGATTAAAGAGTTAGAGGCTGAGTTAAAAAATCAAGATGAAAGAATAGAGGAATTGGGAGAAAGGGTAGAAATAGAACAGGAACAAGTTAAGGAAGTCATAGCAGTTGGTGAAAAATGAAGCAAAAATCAAGCAGAAGACATAAAAGAGAAAAACCAAAAATTAGAAATTTCTAGTAAGATAATTGATAAGTTAGAGCAAGAACTAGTTCAAGAAAGGGAAAAGGCAGAAACATCTAATAAGACAATTTCAGAAAAAGATTTGCAAATCAAAACCTTACAAAAGAAAACAAAAAAGTTGCAAAACCAATTACATTTATTTGAAAAGGATTTACCTGCTTTACCTAAAAAACAAAGTAAATTTAAGTTATTTAAGGAAAAAACAAAAACTAAATTAAATCAATTGATAGAGAACAAAAAACACCAAATCCAAGAGTTAGTTGCTAGAATAGAAGTAAACAGATGATTAATGAGAGAGTTAACTTACATGCTTTTAGATTTAGAAAAAGCAAGTTGAAAAACTTGTGATTTTTGTTCTAATCTTTATGGAGAGGATAATAAGTCTGTTAATCAAATAGCAGCTTGTATTTAAAACAAATGGTAAATATGTTGCAGATGATGTAGTTTGTGAGAGCTGTAAGGAAAAGTTTGAAAATGATGAACTAGAAAAATGTGAGAAATGTGGCAGATTACAAACTAGAAATTACCTTGATGTTCTTAGTGGCAAATATATTTGTTTTTGTGTCAAATATGAAGAAGATATGGAAGAAAAAGAACCTCCTCTCTTGCCTCATGAAGAAATAAGTCAATCTGCTTTCTACAAACAGCCAATAAACTCTCTGAAAAAAACAACTAAACAAGACTGAAGAAGCCCTAGAATTTAAAAGGGAAGAAGTAATCAAGTTTCAAGAAAAGTCTGAGGTAAGAGGCAAAAGCAAGAACTTTTGGATAGAATAAAGGAATTGGAGACTGAACTAGAAAGATTAAAAAAATTAACCCCTAAAGAACTAGTTGATAAATTAAGTGCTAAAGAAAAGGAAATCAATGATTTAAAAGTTCAATTAACCCAATTGCAACAACAGAATGGTCAAATTGCTCAAATTGAAGTTAAAGAGACTAAAAGATGATCTTGATTGAAAATGAGAAAGTAGTTTCTGTATAAATTGAAATTCATTCCAACTATCAAAGAAAATGGTAGTTATTTTCCTTTTAAGGATTTCTGCTTTTTGTTAGGTAATAGCATACTTTCATTCTGCTTTCTTTTTCTAACATTTATTATTTTTCTTTCTTCTTGGTAAATTTCATAAGTAATCCTTTCTTTTCTTAGATAAGCTTCCATTGTTTGAGTATCATTTATTTTGAAAATATAGGGAGCAATTTTTTCGCCTTGTTCCTTTTTTAAAAATACTTCTGATAGTACTATGATTCTTGGGTTCCATAGTAAATTAATTTCATATTAACTATTTTATATAGGGACAGTTCTACATATACATCACTTAATGAATGGGGCATTATAAACTAAATTGTGATGATAATAATTAAATTTGATCCCTGTAATTTTTGGTAATACCAATGTTCACTTTGTCTGGTTTTGTTGCAGTATGCCTCATATAAAGATGAACCACAATTCAATTTTCATATGCCACAACCACAACCATAATTCTATTCTTATATATATACTGTAATTAGCTGCGGCGAGTTGCAAGTAATAGAGATTTATTGGTAAATAGTCATATATATGTGTTTGTTTATATTACATATGTAACTTGACGAACTTTTACATGGATATAATTAAATTTAAAAAGAATTTATGACAATAAAGTTTATGATGTTGTATAAAAATTTTTTTTTAATATTAATATTGATGAACTTCTCCTTGTCCGGAATTCATTTTTTTATAATTAATACGAAAATATAGAAGGTTTACTATAGAGAGTGTGTGTGTGGAACTTTGTACCGTCCAAAACCAAAAGAGTGAAGAATTTTCAAATTACAGATCAGCAAACGAATTTCTATTATAAATTGATCTATTTTTTTTTACTCTTGCATATTAATAAAAAATTTTTTATCAAGAAATTTTTTACGGACAAAATGGCAGATATTAAAGATATTTCCAGTAAACAAATTTTGAATTGGTTTTTATTATTATCTAATCATATTTATTTTCGAGAAAGTGATTCATTACTATTTTTCTATTCTTCATAAATTACTTGTTGAAAATTGTTTTTTATAAATTTATTATTATAAATTACTTTGTGATTGAAGAACACAAAAAAAAAAAAAAATGGAGCTGAAACATTTAGTCAATAATATGGTCAATTACCAATTATCAATATCGACGCTTGATAAAAGTTAGAATGGGTATGTAAATAATTTGAATCCAGAGGCAAGTATTAAAATTTTATTACGAATTATATATAAAAATGACAATGATTAGAAAATGGTTTTGCACCACTCTTAGACCGTATCATGGTCAATGAAGTTAAACATCACCTTTCATTCTTCAAAAATGAGCCAATATATATATATGTATATAAAATAATAATATTATTATTATTTTAATTAATCACCCCTTTACATTATTTCTTTTCTTCTAAATATTAGATACAAATCCAGAATTATAAGCCTCTTGAAGCTATTTCTATTGATCATTTGCCATGTTCATCTTGATTAATAGAAAGGAAGAATATTTAGAGCTTTGGAATTTGCACAAGATGAATTGGCATCTCTTGAAGAAGAAAATGCAAGTCACAATTTTAACAACATATATAAATATAATATGTTGTAATTCATATTTATACATATCCAAAAAAATTATAACAATATAAGTCTGATTTTATTGAACTCGAGAGATCAATGGCACTATTAGCATTGATGAGATTTATTTCGTACATCACAATATTTATGTACAGCCGGTGAACAAATGCTGGAACTTTAACTTCACAAAGATCCAAAATTACCATATTAATATTTGGTTTGGGTTCAAATGAATAGATGAAAAATTAACATATCCTAAAATGAAAATTTAACAATTGCTAAATTAATCAAAATTGATAATAACAGCGATAATAATAAAATTTCTTCTATTTTACCAATAATAATGTGCTTTCCCTTTTTAAATAAATTGTATTACATTAATAAATCTATATAAATAGTAAAATTTAAAAAAAAAATTTTATAAAAAAAAAATGTCCAATTCACCAAAAAAAAGAAAAGCCGATGAATCTTTAGAATTAGATTTAGAGGACGACGATTATGTACCGTATGTTCCTATTAAGCAAAGACGTGAAGCAAAGCTTCAAAAACTTGCTAGCCAAAGACGCATTCCAGAGCCACAAAAGGATAAAGAGGTTGAAGAGGAAGAGGAAGATTCACATAAAGCTGGTCCCAAAGCTAATATCAGTCTTATAGATCAAGCAGTTGAAGTTAAAAAACAAAAACGAATAGAAGGTTAATGATGATAACATCATAAACCAAGTATTTATTTATTTATTTTGTTTAACACAGTATTATTATTTTTATTTTATAAATATAGATGCTTTCAAAACTGACGCAGAAAAGAAATTAGAGGAAGAAAAGGCAATTATGGAAGCTGTTACTCAGAAAAAGCTTTTGGCATCAGATCGTGAACTTGCCAAAGGAATAATTTATACAGAACCTATGAAGACATCGTACGTTTTATTTTGTTAGAGAAACTAAAGCTTGTTCGTTCATTAATTGATTATAATATTCATTGACATCATCATCGTTATTATTATTTTGGTAGATGGAGACCACCTAGGCATATCAGAGAAAGGTCACAAAGCGAGCACGAAGATATTCAACAAAGATATCATATTTTTGTTGAAGGTGAAGATGTTCCTCCACCAATTAAACATTTTAGGGTATGTGGCTTTAAAAATTTTATTTTTTACAATTGTATATTTTGATTTACTGATCTTGTAACAGGATATGAAATTTCCTTCTGCTATATTAAAATATTTAAAATCTAAAGGTATTAACAGACCAACACCAATTCAGGTTCAAGGCCTTCCAGTTGTGTAAGTTTTTTTTTTAATTCAAAAAAAATTTTTTTTTTTTTAGCGATTAAATTTAAATTTTTTTTTTTAGATTATCTGGAAGAGATATGATTGGAATCGCGTTTACTGGATCTGGTAAAACCTTGGCTTTTTCGCTTCCATTAATTATGCTTGCATTGGAAGATGAAATGAAACTTCCATATACTAGAGGTGAAGGTCCTACAGGGATGATAATATGTCCATCAGTAAGTCCTTTTTAAAGTTTGAATATTTATTTTTTTCTTTTAACAAAAACGACAAATTTTGAAAATAACCATTTAATAAATAGCGTGAATTGGCAAGGCAAACATTTGAAGGAATATGTTCCATGATTGAATTTTTGGCAAATAATGGTTTTGCAAAGTTACGTACATTATTATGTATTGGTGGAATCTCAATGTCAGATCAACAATATACATTATCCGAAGGAATTCATATAGTGGTTGCTACACCTGGAAGATTAAAAGATATGTTGGAAAAAAAGAAATTCAATTTAAACATTTGCAAGTAAGTTATTTACGGTAATATTATATTTATATATATGATTATGATTATTTGATTTTATTTATATTGAAAAATGTGAAACATCAGATATTTGTGTTTGGATGAAGCTGATCGTATGATTGACATGGGGTTTGAGGATGATGTTAGATTAATAATGTCATACTTTACAGTAAGTTATTTTTATTATCCTTTTTAAATTTTGAGTTTTATTCATACAACAAAATAATAGATGTATTTATATATCTTAGAGCCAACGACAAACTTTGTTATATTCAGCTACAATGCCAAAGAAAATCCAAGATTTTGCAAGATCTGCTTTGGTTAAACCAGTAATTGTAAATGTTGGTAGAGCAGGTGCGGCAAATTTGGATGTAATTCAAGAGGTTGAATATGTTAAACCAGAGGCCAAAATGGTTTATCTTTTAGAATGTCTACAAAAAACGCCGCCTCCGGTAAGCAATTATTCTTTATTATTATGGGATTACATTACATTTATCTGATATTATTATTATTTCGAAACAGGTGCTTGTTTTTGCAGAGAATAAACATGACGTTGATGATATCCATGAGTATCTTTTATTGAAAGGTGTTGAGGCTGTGGCAATTCATGGGGGGAAAAGTATGATACCATGTTCATTGTTATTTTACAACAATTATTTTGGCAATCTATTTTTCGTGGCTATATCAATAAAAAATAATTTTTTATAGGTCAAGATGAACGCGAATATGCAATCAGGGCTTTCAAAAGTTATAAAAAAGATGTTTTAGTTGCTTCTGATGTTGTCTCAAAAGGGTTAGATTTTCCTGATATACAACATGTTATTAACTATGATATGCCTAAAGAAATTGAAAATTATGGTACGTGATTTATATATATCTGAATAATAATTTATATATTTCTAAAACGTTTTTTTTATAAAAAAAACAGTACATAGAATTGGTCGTACTGGACGTTCTGGCAAAACAGGAGTTGCTACAACTTTTATCAATATGAATTGTTCAGAACAAATTTTACTTGATTTGAAACATTTATTAAAAGAAGCTAAACAACGAGTTCCTCCAGTACTTGAGGTTTTAGAAGACCCGACAGAAAAATTCAAAGATTTAACTGGAGGTTGTAGTTTTTGTGGTGGACTTGGACATCGTATCACCGATTGTCCAAAATTAGATGCTCAAAGAAAACAACAACTTGGAAATATTAGTCGTGGTGTTGGTGGTGGTGGTGGTGGTAATGGTGAAAGAGGTGGTGGTGAATATTAATTGGCTGATAACTTTAATGTTGTTGTTATTATGCTACTTCATCATTATAATAATTATTTTAAATAATCTAAAATTAATGTTATGATTAAGTAAACGCTTGATCAATACCTGATCTGTTTTTTCCATTTATATTGGTGTGGCATTTATTCTAAATGATTCAGTTTGTCTCGAGACTTTCCTTAACTGGAAGAGAGTTACATAACTATACAACTCGTTTTGAGCTGCGTAAAGCGTTGAATTTTTTTAAAATTTTTACAAAACTAATTAAAAGCATTGTATAGAGATACTTGATATTAAATAAATATCAAACATTTAGCATTTAATATTAAATAGGTGAAAACAAATATTTTATTAATTCTCAATTTTTTTGGGAAGCATGGATTAAAAAAAATGTGACTAGTGACGTAATTTGCTTTAGTGAGTAAACAAGGGTTTAGTACTAACGTTGGTTAACCAGTGGGTGTTTGCAACGGTTAGTGAAGTATTGTCCAAAGGTTAATCGGAAATACTAGTGTAAACGTAAGGCCGTTAACAAGTTGTTTAAATTTTTGCAATCGGCCAATAAATATAAACAAGAGTAAACAACTGAAATAGGAACTTTATAAAAACCCTTGAGCTTTGTAAAAGTGCCATATTTATTTATTTACAGTTACCCGGAAAATTTATCTATTTTTTTTTAAAACGTCAGGGTTGAAAAAAGAAGCAGATGCTTGGCTGGAAATCGTGTTTCACTTTAGATGTTTCTGTGCATTGTCTACCGTTGCCTACCATTAGATATTCGTCTTGCTCTGACATTTCGGATCGTTTGAAATAACCAAAAACTGATGGCCTTGTCTTGGGAACTTTTGCTTCGAATCGTCAAAGACTTGTTACACAACGTGTTGGTATTAATATTGCTGGTCATGCGACCGGGATTCAAAAAGGCTTTTTCATGTTGTCAATTTAGTGATCGGTAAATTTTTTGATTTTGACCATTTAAGGATAATGGAAAAACCATAAAAACCATAATGGAAAATCTCCTTTTGGAGAATGCAAATAAAATTTGATTTATATGACAAACGCTTTTAATTAAGAAAAAAAGCTTAGCTAATTTTTTTTTTAATAATCGAAATTCGTTTGATGCTTATCCTTGAAAAAAAAATTTTTGATTGATCTTTTGATCTGAGATAATAAACAAACATGAGGAAAGGGGAAGTGCACATAATACTGGAATTTACAGAATAATGATTTGTATTTTTTTTATAGTATAATATCCAATTCTTTCTTGGCTGATTCTTTTTTATGTTCTCTCTAAAATATGTCATCCAATTTTATTTTGGTAACTCATTTGCATCCAACTCACTCTTTATTTTAGATTTGCAAGCATTGTTTCAGCAGTGAATCTATCCTTCTTATCTACATTTCCTGACAAAAAATAGGCTCTTAGAAGTTGTTTTACAGACATACATTTACTTCCATCACACTTTTAAAATTTTGCTTTTCGTGAAGAGTCCAACCCAGTTCAAAGTAATTCGTTCTGAAAATTTGTTAATTTAACATCTAGAAAATATTTATTATATTAAAAATTTTTTTTTCTATTTTACAGTTCACACTCTCTAAAATGAACCATTTGACCTAGGAAAAAATGACCATTATATACAATAATAATAATAATTTATATAAATTGGATTAAATTATCAGTCCATTATAGAGAGAGTAAACTGTAAATTGGGCTTAAATTCTCAGTCCATTATTATTAAATATAAAGGGAGTACCTTATTCATTTTAACTGCTTCATCTTCATTCCCAGGAATCATCATTATATAGCATTTTTCATTTTGTACATTCAATTGGTATAATTAATATTGATAGTGCATTGTACTATACTACACCTTTGGAATAAATTTCTACACAAATTTTTATAAGTAGGAAAAATATTTATTTAATATATTGTTTAGAGTTTCTTTCCAATCTGCTTTCATAAAGTAAATGAGGAATGATTGAACTTAATGAAATTGAATTTACTTTTAATAAGGGTTGGTTTAATCCTTTATATGTGTTTTATTAATATAATTATCCTGCTGGTCCTTATTTAAAAATCAATGCAGATCACTCATTATTAAAAGTATCACATTAAGTATTAAATTAAAAAAAGTTGAACATTAAAAAGCAATAGATATTTAAGTTTATTAGCAAATTATTATTAATTCATTTTCAATAATTATCAATTATTATCAATTAGTTGAAGAACTTCCAATTCATCAAATTTACCATAATTTGGTATATTGAAGTTACTATAAGTTTTTGGAGTACCATAAATTGTACCATTTTGATTAAAATAAAGATCATAATTATAGCCAAAAATAGGAAATGAACTAGGTTTACAACCAATTGCAAACTGATTTTTACCATCAATGACATAACTAATTTGTGCAGTACATAGATAAACTTGATAAGTCGGACACTCAATAAGTTGGATTTGGCCTAACTCGGACAAAAATTTCCAGCCCTTTTTTTTTATATTTAAAAATTTCTTGATAAGTCAGACATATATAAAAACTCTTGTTAAGCTGTAAGTCGGACAACTCCTCCAGCCAGATAATAATAAATGACTCTCGATAAGTCGGTTCACGCGATTTTCGTAAATCTTTGAGAGATAATCTTTACTATTTTTAGTAATGTATGATCCAATAATCATTATTCATAAATATCTGTTTCGTGAATAATATTATAATCATTGTATCATTTTAAAAATTTATCTTTGCAAATAATGTATTTTATTGTTATATTTATCAATTATGTCATTTATTATCTCATCATTAAATAATTAGTGATTTGTTATCTCATCATTAAATAATTCGCAATTTGTTATCTCATCATTAAATAATTCACGATTTATTATCTCATCATTAAATAATTCATGATTTATTATGTTCAAAAATATGTATAAAAAGGGTAGATTTCCCAACCTTCTGAATTTCTAGATAAAAAATAAAATAAAATAACCATTTATAATTATGGAAGGAACATCCAGTAGATTTGGAAGCAAGAAAGGAAGAAAATTGGTTGCACTTACTAATATTCAAAAAAAGAATTATGTGAATATAAGATTGCCAATTCAAACAAAACATATGAAGAAATTGGTAAGAAATTCGGAATTGGTAAATCAACTGTAGGAGATATTATTAGAGATAAGGAGAAATGGCTTGCAATTACTGAGAGCTCAGATGCTACTAAATGAGATCATGGAGGTGAATGGCCACAGTTGGAAGAAGCATTAGCAATTTGGATTAATAATGCCAATAGAGCCAATTATACCATAACTGGTTCCATCATTTGTCAAAAGGCACTGGATTATGTTAGAAGACTCGAAATTATTGGATTTACAGCCTCACAAGTAAGTATCAATTTTTTGATTATTTTATTTATTAAATTTCGTTTTATTTTAATCATTTTATCTATATATTTAATAGGGATGGCTTACTAATTTTAAAAAAAGAAAAGGTGTAAAAGAACATTACAAAGCGGGTGAAGCAGCAAGTGCACCAATTGATGACTTACCAGAATTTAGAGCTGAATTAAAAAATTTAATTGCAGAATATGACTTGAATGATGTTTATAATGCTGACAAAACTGCCCTCTATTGTAAGTTAGAACCCAACAAAACTCTCAGTAGTGGTCCTATCACTGGCACAAAAAAACCTAAAGATAGAATTACAATAATGCTTGCATGTAATGCAACTTGTTCTCATAAATTGCCAGCTGTATTTATTCATAAATATAAAAATCCAAAATGTATTTGTAATATTGATAAGAAAACACTTCCAGTGTGGTACTATTGGAATAACTCATCATGGATGCAATGTTCAATATTCCAATCATGGTTTAAACAAGTTAATCAACAGATGCACAACCAACATAGAAATATTTTATTATTAGTTGATAATGTTCCTTCACACTATTTGGAAGAAAGTGAAGTGTTAAGCAATATTAAATTATATTTTCTTCCGCCAAATACAACAGCTCATCTCCAACCAATTGATCAGGGCATAATTCATTCATTTAAAGTAATTATTCTTATTGAATTGAAATTTTATTTTTTATTACATTTACATAATTGACTTTTTTTTAAATAAATAGTCACATTATAGAAAACTCCTGTGTCATAACAGGATAAATGCATTTGATAATTCACAAGAATGTGAAACCCCAATTCCAATTTTAAACATTTTGAATGCAATTGATTGGAGTGCAAAAGCATGGGAAAATGTAACTGATGATGTGATTTATAGATGTTGGGAAAAAACAGGTATTCTACCTGATAATGAAGTTGACCAACCTATTACTATGGAAGTTGTTTCTGAAATAGAAGAAGTACAATTGCTTATTGATCAAATCAATGTTAATAATGATGATGATACTATTACAGCAAGAAGTTACATTGAGATTGATTCTGATTTAGGAACTGAAATGCTTGATGATGACAAAATTATTGCAGCAGTTCAAGAAGCACCTGAAGAAGAAGAATAAGATGATATTGGCCCACCAATACCTAATAAAATTGCTTTAGAAAGCATTCAAATCTATATAATTACTTGCAACAGAATAATGATATACAAGTAAATAGTTCATTTGTTTCAGGATTAAATGATTTAAAATGGAAAATTAATAGAAAACAAAATAATTCTTTAGTACAAACCAGTATGAATATTTATTTAGATAAAGAGTAGAGATTTTTTTGTTTTATCTTTATCTGTTTTATTAAATTATTTTTTCAATTATTATTATAAATAAATAAACAATTTAAACATGATTTTCTTATTTTTTTTTTTTTTTGTAAAATTGCATATTTTGATAAGTCAGATCTCTTGATAAGTCGGACACCATGTCCAGCCATTTGTGTCCGACTTATCAAGTTTATCTATGTACTATTATCATTTCTATTATTAATATTAAATATGAAGCTTTTGTCTGTATCTTTATATCCATTTCCATTCCAACCAAGTGGATTGTACCCACCAACTATTTGCTCAGAATTTTGTATTTTCACAACTACAATAGTTTTCTTAATGTCTTTACAATTTTTATGAAATACATCAGGAAATTTTTTCTGATGTGGATTTACATAATTATTACAATATTTATGTAAGTTTACAGCAGGCCCCATAATATTATGCAATTATTACATTGAGTGTAAATATTACATAATTTTTTATGCAAATATTACAACTTTACATATTAAAATTTATGGAAGTAATATTATGGTGGGGAAATTTCCTGATGTAAACCATCTCTAATGCTATGATATAAAAGTTTAAATTTATATTTAGCTTTCTTGAATGAAGCAAGTGATAGTTGTTTTTTATCAATCCAATTTTCAAAAGACAAAATAAGGTTTTGTTTAATTATTGTTGATCCAATTGTTGAACCTCTTGATGGTAATAAATTTGAAGCTGATTCTTCATCAAGTTTTGTATAATAATTCCAAATATTTCTCCATAAATCTGTAGGAAAAAGCATTTGATATTGAACAAAAATTTTGTCACTAAAATCCCTATTAAAGGAATGATATCTCCTAGTGTATTCTTTAACTCCTTAAAATCATCTGTATCCCAATTTAAAATGTTTTTTTCTTCCAATTTTTTATTTTTTCCAACTCCCATTGAATAACATGGTCCCAAACATCAATTTGCTTTAAATTTAAATTATCATTTTTTAACAAACTCATTAACATTGGCTTTTCAATACTTTTGAAATCGTTAGATGTAAAAATCAATTTTAGATCTTGTGCAGTTAAGTTTTCAAAGTATTTATAAAGTATGCTAAATGATGGGTGTCTTGATGAAAATTGCTAAAGATAAATTAGGTTCTGTTGAATCCATTCTTTGTTTTTGGCAATTAAACAGTATTGTAAGTCATTAAGTAAATCACTAACATCCAATTCATCACATGCCATAAGAAGCTCCATAATTTCATTGCAATCAAAATTATTAATATTAATAATTCCACTATAAATATACCTTTGAAAAAAAAAATTTTATTTTAATTGTTTTAGTTTTATATTTATATAAAAAAATTTATTTAATAATCATTCAAAATAATTAAAATTAAACTGATCTTACTTTAAAAGAGGAAACACAATGACAGCCAAACGAACAAAATTGAATCCATTGTTATTTGAAAGGGTTGTATATATTTCTTTCTTAAAAAAATATGAATGTATTGAAATATTTTTCCTGATGAATATAATGTTATATTTTTTGTATTAAATTGATTAAATGAGGAGGAGATTCAACGGATATTTAGCGAATAATAATAACAATAACGATAACCGATTATCCAGGTGTTAAATAAAATTCAAAGTATTTAAACACTCGGGATTAAGTTCTGAAAAAGATCTAAACTTTTTTTAAACATAAAATGTTTGGGATATTGCGAGGTGGCTTTTTGGTCAACCTCAATTATTTTACGTTGTATGGCCGAGTTCAATTTAACATTTTAGTTACACTTGTCAATTAATTATTTTACGAATTTATCATGCTTTATTGCAATGAATCTTTTGGTCGATTAAAGTCAGACGTATGTTTACAACAATTATTTTAAAATAATACAACATGTGATAACGGCAACTGTTAGCTCTTTGTATAGGTAGTCGATCAGTAATAACTGTTAACGACACTGGTATTAACACCTTATGTCTACACCTAAACAATTAAACCTGTTTACGAAAAGTTAAACAAAAATGTTTATGCATAACAAAATCAAAAACAAAACCTTTACTTTATACCAAAGCAAATACTCAACCTCAAAGTTCTATATCACTCTGATAACCAAACAAAAGATCAAATCCTACTGCTATTACAATTTCCAACACAAAAGTGTTTTATTAAACAAAAAAGAACTAATTATATATTGTATATATCATTTCTACGTTTATTTATGTATTATGAATAAATTTGTAAATAGATGGATGAATAGATGAACAACAAAAAAGTTTAGTTGGTTTATTAAGATAACCAACGATTGTATAATCAACGATCACATGGAATATGGAAGATAAAAACGTCCAAGCCAAGAAGGTTAGTGTGTAGTCATGTACAACGATAATTTAAACAAACCATTACTGTCAGAAATCGAAGTTTTTCTTTTGAATATTCGTTAAAAATTTTTTGGGAAGCTTGAATATATATATATTTATATATACAACCCAATTAAATTCGTGGAGCATCGAAATCCTTTTTGTATGGATTTTTGATTACACCGATTTTATTTAAAAATCTTTCTTATCTTCAAAACAATCGGTAATAGGGTTCAATTGATCATCAAATAATTGAAGCTAAAATATAAGATATTATAACATTAGCAATATTATTATTTATAATCTTGAATTATTTATCTTCTCTCATAAAAATAGTAATACAATATTACCAATTTATATTTAAATTCTGACTTAACTGACACCATTTTATGCTGAAGTTCTTGAAGAGCTTGACAATATTGATTGCTAATTTTCAATTGATTATCTACCATTTAATATAGCTATCTGTTATCATTACCTTCATTATATATTAAGAAAAAACAATCATTATATACCACCAAAGAGAGAATATAAAATAATACCTAATTTTGAGGATAGTTCGGCATTTTCTTTTTCAATTGTATCTATTTTGGTAATTAATTCATCATTTTTTCTTTGTAATTCTTCTATTTGATTTGCATTTTCTTTTTGTTTGTCTAAAAATTCTTGGTGTGTTTCATTTGTAATGTAAAAACCATGTTGTCCATGTGCAGCCTATAATACATAAATTTCTTTATATATATATGATTTATTTCAGACCAAAAAGAAATCATTCTCCTTACTAATAAATCTGCTTTAAGACGTTCAATTTGGTATATATATTCTTGAATCAATGCCTTTTTAGTCACACGCTGATTAGCAACTGGCTTATTACGAATATTTTTAGCACGAGTTGCATAATCCAATGTTGATATGGTTTCCTCAAGACTCAATCTTACTGGAGATATGGTTGCAATAATACAAGTTTTGGTTCTACCTCCAAGTGAGTCTTGTAATAACCTTGTCAATTTACTTTCTCTTAATGATGATAATAAAAATAATAATAAAGTAAAAATCATTAATTATCTCCACTTAACAATATTTAATTAATTAATATACTGTACCTATAGGGAATATGTAGAGAATGTCCATTAAGATTATTAATACATCGACCAAGTGTTAACAAGCTTTTGTTAATTACTCCAGCTTCTTTTGCATGTTTGTTTTCAGCACCTGTACGAGCAATACATTCTGATCCTGCTAAATCAACAAAATTAAATTTACCAACTTTCAACAAATCTTCACCATCAGGCATTGTTTCTTTAATATGAACTGTAATTGTGAATACTGAGTGTGAACGACTATTAATAATAATAATAATAGCATAGCATATATTATTTCAATTAATCCATATACTAATTGTTTATGTAATCACTAAATTATTATTTGATAGATACCTTGATTTATCATTATAATTAGTTGAAGCATTTTGTCTTTTAATAGATCCTTGTTTCAAAACATTGATACCTTCAGCGGCATCTTTTAAAGGCACTTCTTCATGTCCATACAAAACACCTTTATTATTACCATCATCTATAACTTTCAAACTTTGTTGGCTATTATTAGACAAAAGATCTTTCAATTTTTCATTATACAATTCGATATAAGAAACCTTCACTGAATAATCAGCAGATTCTGATTCCAAAGTTTGAAAAAGACTGCAAAGAGAACGTGGGATGACACCAGCATTTGGACTAATAATCACATTGTCACCACTAATACCATATCTAATATTCAAATCTCCTTCCATTGTATACGTTTTACCAGTTGATGTTTGACCATATGCAAACAGAGTACAATTAAACCCATCCAACACCTCATACAATATTGGGTTAACCACAGAATCAAATATTTTTTGTTGATTTGCTTCTTTCCCGAATACTTTGTCGAAAGTATAACTTTTACAAGATGCATCCTCAGTTTTTAATCGTATTTGTACATCACAGTGTGTGGTTTTTATGACAACTGGAGATTTGATTTTCTCCTCTCTTTCCAACTTTGCCCTTTTAATTGAAAATTTTTTTTTCAAAGAACAACAAAGCGTTAAGCAATAATGTTTAAAAATTATTGTTTAGTATTTTTATTCTTTGTATAACTCACCTGCACCTAACTACTACTTGAATATTCATTTCTTCAATCTTCCCAACATTATCAAAATTACTTCTCCTTCGTTTTTTTGATCTTTCTGAACCAACGTAATTACTGTTAACAGAAGTTATTTCCATATTATTTTTTAATTTAGTAAAAAAATTGGATTTTGGTAATTCCGATTTAATATTATTTAATTTTTGGATCTATTAGATCTATTAAATATTTGTTTTGTTTATCAGAAAGACACGTCAATTTTATTGTTACACTTGAATCACATGACAATCATCATCGATTTTTTTTCAATACAATACCTTTCAGGAAAGAAGTCTATTCGTTATAATAATAATACAATTGCAAGTGCGCACCAATAACAAATCAATTCAGCTTTAAAAATTTTTATCGAAAGCTTGAAAGTACTACGATATTTGAAAGAGAGTACATTAAAGACATTGTTTAGTTACTTTTGTTAGGCATACAGGCAAGAGCAGTATTTGAATACATTTTATCTTTATAAATTGTGGTTAGTTGAATATGTTAATAAAGCAATTAGTAAAGACCTAAATTAGATGAAAACAAATTCTGAATATTATACTATTAGTGCATCAGGATGGCATCTCTGAACTTTCTTTCTAAATATGATGAGAATGGTAAATAAATTATAATAATGATAAGATAGAATATATCAATATTTATATGTATGTTATTATTTCAAAAATCAAAATACATCTTCCATGTACACATATATTATATACTGTATATATATTGACCTTCAATGTTTTATATCTTGATATTTTGATAATAGTGTTCTGTATTTATCTTTAAATTCACATAAATCAATATAACTTCCTTTCAAATGCCTCTCTCCATTTCTCAAGTCAAAACTTGTTCTTCCATGCAGTACACGTCTATTCATGAACATTGCCAAATCACCAGGATTCAGTCTTATTTCGAATTTCATGTCAGGATCTTCAATTATTGAACAAAATCTTTGATACGCTTGATAAAATCTGTTTATCTCATCATCTGACAGTATCAATAAATATTCATTTGGACCTTGAAATGGTGGTGAATAATTTACATGTGAAGTTTGATTATTATAGTTATCATTAACTATCAAAGGACGATTGAAACACATGTGATGTCCATCATTTACATATTGAAAAGTAATTGGTACTTCTACGAGTATTTGATAATCTCTAGGATACTTGTTCTTTAATACTTCTATAGCCTTAAATGAATCTGAAAATATACTTGATCCGCCTTCTGCTGAATTTTTTAAACAGTGTAAAAGTTGTATACCTGGTGGTGATTCATAATATCTTTAAAAAAAAAAATAAATATAATTAACAATATAAGAAATAAAAAAAGATTATTTATTATTATTTCATACAATAAGTCCATATGTAAACCTAATTCCAAATTTGAATAAGCAATATTTTTAGCACCAGGTAATGAAACAACATCCCAAGTTCTTCCATAAAATGTATTTTTTATTGTACCAATTCGTTTCACCACATTCTCTATCGCTAGTTGTTTTTCTCCTTCATTCTGATGAAGAGCAATTGGCACATTGTTTATAAATACCAATCCATACCTCCATAAATGTTCTAGAGTTTTGAGTAAATTTTTATTGGAGGACATGTAATTTGAATAGTCAATTGAAGTAATCTTTTCAGAAAATAATGATTTGTCCCACAAAATATGGTTTACAAATCTGTTATGGCGAGGGAGAAATGGATTACTTGTATTGATTTTTGTGATATCATTTGTAAGTCTGGTTGTGGAATCAATTGAGAGCGAAGAAGAAGATGGCACTACACTAAAAGCTTTTAAAAAGTTTAATGAATAGATGCTTTTATGAGATTTAATTGATGACATGAACAAAGAATCCGATTTTTGTGATCCTTTTGTATTTAATGATAGTAACAATGGTTTATCCCAAGCAACTTCAACTGAATCCTCCATGAAATTAATTGATAATGGTTTGATATCAAGTGGAATATTTGCAGTGGAAAACAACTTTTGTCCGCTGTTAGGGTGAACACATTGAGAACATTGACAATTATCACGTAACCAGATATAATTGTATTTAGAAGTGAAAGAAGTGTCTGGCCAAGTAATAGCGAGTGAATTATTGGATAATGAAGAAGATGATGATAACCCATTTTTGATCAATGTAGAATGTGAGTGTGAAAAAAAATTTTTATTATTAAGGGATTTTGAGAATGATGGTGAAATTGAATTTAAAAGGTTTGAAAACAACAAACAATGATTATTTGTTCTGGTGAAAGAAATATTTTTCATCTTGAAAATTCCAAGATATATATAGCTAGTTACACTAAAAATAAAAATGGATTAAAATTATAGAGCATGATATTTCGAATGGAATGTCTTCATACCCTCGTTTGATACCCTTGCTGTGTAGCAATTGCCACCAAATTTGATATATAACTTCTTTCTGCTTTAAAAAAATTTTTGAAGCAAGTTGTTAATAAAACCGAAAATAATCTCAGCCTTAAAGTCAAATTTTGACTTTGTATTCATATATGGGGCATACTGTAACAAAACCAGACAAAGTGAACATTGGTATTACCAATAATTTCAGGGATCAAAATTGGTGTTAATCCCTCTGTAAATATATGATTATTTGGGGCATACTGCAACAAAACCAAACAAAGTGAACATTAGTATTACTAAGGATTACAGGGTTCAAAATTTAGTCATGGTGGCTTCAATAATGTGATCATGATGATTAAGGGTGTTTTATCTACATCTCATTTTTTAATCAAAATTTAATATAATTAGGTCGAAGGTGCAAATTCAATAAGGATTTAGTTTTTTCTTTTATTGTGATTCATAATTGGTGGATATGGAATAAAAAATTTAAATTTTTGAAAAACAATTTATTTAACAATTTATAAAATTTAGTTTGCAAATTAAAATAATTAAGCAACTTAAATTTAAAATTAAAACACCACTAATTCTCAAATATCTAATAAGAATTTGATTACAGCATTAAATAACATTATTATTCAGGAGTTTTGTTCACGTTTAGAATAGGAATATTCTCAGTTACAAGATTTCTTCGTTTTCCTTTGATGTTCAAAACATGCAATGTTTGTGCTATACTTTCAGTTTCTGATAATTTATTCTATGAAAATTAAGTTAAATTAGTTGATTGATCATATAAATCAATTAAATCAATTGTCATATAGAATAAAAAGTAATAGTGTACCTCCAATTCTTTTAAAGTACAATAAATGTCTTCATATAGCATGCAATCATTTTCATTGCATGGTCAAATGCACTTATCTATTAAACCAAAAAGGTAAATCCCATCACCATACCACGTCATTACATAAAGATTAATTTCAAATCCTGTATTAGGAGAAATATTTCAATTAACCAACAAACCCTGGAAATAAAACCTACATAATGCATTGAAAAAAAAACCTATACCTATCTGCGTCCAACCAAAAACAACCAATTTCTTCCTTTGCTCATCAGATACAAAATTCAATCCTTTTAAAGTTTTATTTAAAGCATCTCTCATTATTACCGAAAGTTTTATCTTGTCAACATATTTCTTCTTCTTGGTTGCTACAGGCAACCCAAATGGTCCTAATCCTAAAGATACTTCACCAAATATTATTTCCATTTTGTTTGGTATGTTTAATAAGAACCCCAGCATATCAACCTTCCTACCAAGTTTGCTTCTTTGGAATGGATTGCTATTTTCATTTCTTTCATCCTGTGTAGCCAAGACTTGGATCTCACCCCTATAAACAACGGGACACAAATGTTTAAAAATTTTTTAAGTAAAAAATAATAAAAATAATGCACTAAGACTACCATTTGTCCTTTATTATATTGGAATGAATTACACTCTCAAAATATCATGTACTGTTTTGCCTTTACATGTAATAAGTAAATGATCAATTTTGTCTAAAATAGCCATTTGTTGAATCATTTCATCCTAAAGATAGCAAAGAGGTTATTATATACTTTGAAACATATAACACTCATATTATTCACTTACATGAAACTTGGCCATCATCCATAATATTCCCTTGTACTTTGAACGTGAATTGAAATCAAATGGCAAATCTGCAGATGCCAGCTTATAAGACAGAAACCTACCATCTTCCAAGATGCTAAGGGCATATAATGTTGATTGATTTTCTAAAATAAATGATAAAAGAAAAAGGTATGTTATTAAAATATAATTTATTGCTTTTGCATAAAGTGAACATGTGACAAATGAACTACCTATAACCTGTGTGCTGAAAATCTTAATCTGTTTTTGCTATATTTCACATCAATATTAAGGTGATTTCTTAAAATAGCCACCAAATTTAGAATATCAGTACACAATGGTTTTTTGGTGTCACCAACAGTGTGAGTTATTATTTGGTTTCCTGGTGGACCTGCTACTTCCTGAATATACCATATATTAATATAAAAAGAAGAAAAGATTAGGGATATTAATTTGGGGGTTTTCTTGCCAGTGTGAATTAGTCATTCAACCTCCGTTTTTTCCTATTCATTATTTTTTTTCCCTTTTAACACTTTGAAGTAATATTATTATTGTCCAAATCATCATTCAAGGTTATTTGCTCACATAAAAGCAATTCTCTATTAAAGAATCTCTCAATTGTATTGTTTAATAATAAAAATTGAGTTCACTGAGTTATTGTGACCAATAATGCCGGAATTGGAATGTTGTCTACAAACAACAGCCAATAAAAAAAGCTGTTACCGCGTTTTTTTATTATTGTTGTTACGCGTTTTTTTATTATTATTGTTACGCATTTTATTATTATTATTGTTACGCGTTTTTTTATTTTATTGTTAATATTACAGAGCGTCAAAAATGTCAGAAATATTATTACAATTTGAAATTTGAAGGATTTGAAGATTATTTAGACAAAAATAACCTTACACTCATTTCAATACTTCGATTTCGTAGTATCAAACAAGATTTTACATACAATAAATCTGCTGAACATGCACTCATCTCAAAATTTCTATCATATATTGCACAAATATCTAAAGATGAAAAATGGATTATGGTTGCAAATAAACTCAAAAAAGATGGAATGCTGGTCAGTATAGTTTAAGTTTAATATTGAAAAATGAGGTGATAGCAAAATATATTTTTATTTTAATTTCATTGTCTAAACAACCATCTAAGCGGCCTGGCATGCTCAGGCTAGTTACAGATGCAATCTGATGGGCTTCATCCTAAATCTGCATGAAGGACCAGGGCATGTTCTTGGTACCAAGAGCGCGTTTCTTTTGTAGCCTCCAAGGACCTGCCTTTGCTGTCACTGTTTTGGAGCAAGTTTACTAATCATTTTTGTTATTATCTTTTTGTAAGGATCAAACACAAAATGAGGAGGTTAAAAGATTTTGGTTAGATGTAGAAATTGAAAGAGGTGAATTTCAGATGAAACAAACTGAGGTATGTATAATGGTTATTTATGTCAAATTCCAAGGTTGGGTGCATTATTAATTCTGTTTTTGATAATGGCTTACAGATTCAGTTCATTGTTGATAGATCGATATCAAATAATAAAGCACATGATTTAATTGAGGAACAAAAATTAAATTTTATTTCAAATTATGAAAAGCGAACATTGAATAGTGGCGAAATTTGTTCTGAGAAGATTAATAAAAAGGTCAGCACAGATGTAACCTGCAGATAATGTTTCAACTTACAAAAAATCCTTGCTTTTTTAACATTTATATTTTCATACAGATAAAAACAACTAAGGCGATTTCTGAAGAAGATGGAGAGAATGGTTTAGAAGTTATTGAACATGTAGGGGAAAATCTTACAGAGGTATTATTGACTTTCTTTTAATGTAAAATGGCTTCTGCAACTTGGTGATTTTAATCATAATATTTAATCTCTTTCTTTATATGCTCACCCTGCATAATCTTCTAGTTTGAAATTAAAATTTCTGGTAAATTAACTACGATTTTAAGAAAAGCTCAAGAAAAAGAAAAATTTTCAAAGAAAACACATATGGATTCTTTATTGCTTAATGGGATTCTAGAGGTTTCTGATAAAAAGATATATTTTCTAATTCAATCAAAATTTGACAAAGAAGAATTAAATTGGTTAAATGGTGTGCTGAGAAAGCAGGAATGGCAGGATCAAACAAAGGAATTTAAAGAATACATTAATCAATTTAATGAAAAATATTGCAAAAGGGCTTGGGTCCCAACCTTGGTAAGGAAAAGTTTTATTGATGGTAGATTTGATCCTTACTATAATGAGGATTATGATATAGCACAACAAATTATGACACATTGGTAAGTGTTTTCACACATGCAAACCAACCTTTGCATTATTTCTAACTTTGTTAATATTAATAGCTCTGTTAGATTGGAGGCACCAGTCTCAAATGAATCAAATTATGGCAACCTTGAAAGGACCTATTCCATTGACACTATTGTTTATATAATTTCAAGGCTATTTAGAATGCATAGTGATATGTTAGATCTTGGATGGTGAATATCAATTGTGAATTTTAATTCATTTGATTTTTTTGCCACTACTAATTCTCTATTTATTTCACTAGGATTGAATTGACAACACCCTCTACTAAAAAGCATAAATTTGATGGTGTATTAAAAGTGATTAAAACAAAGAAAACTAATAAAGCAATTGTATTGATTGAATTCTCTAAAGGAAAAAAAGCAACAGAAAAAAAAGGTGATGATCATGTGAAATTATGTAGAAATGCAATGAGGATTTTAAATGATTTATTAAAAACAGTATCAAAGGAAATTGCAAGAGTTTATATTATCCAGTCAGTCAGTAAGTAGAAGTCCATGATAGAAAAATACTGTTTGTTTACATATGTATAACTAAATATTTTCTCTATAGATGGATATATTAATATTAAGTATTTGAGTAGACCACTTCCTTCAATATATCTTCTTAATCAATTCCTATCCATAAAAATACCAGTTTCTTTTGATGATTTTGAAATTTTTGCAACAAATATGGTTGAATTAATGTGTTTTCAGGTAAGAATTAGTAATGAATGTTCATTCATAGATATTCTTTCTTGATACTAATGATGACTTTTATTATTACAACAGAGTGAGGTACTTTCAACTGCCAGAAAAATGAATAAAATAAATAGACATTTAAATGATGCTAGTTATATAAAGGTGAATACAGTTCAATGCTCACCAGAAAAATCCACTAAAGATTATCTAAAAAATAGTCAAGATCCTCAATCACCAACTCCTGCTGATGGATTATCCTATCTTCCTTGTTTTGAATGAATTTTTTTTTCATTTTTAAAAGACAGTGTCTTAACAATTTATTTTATTTTATTTGTTTACAGTTGAAAAACAAAAAATTTATTAAATTAAGGAATATACAAAGATTGTAAATAAAGTTTCAAACAATGTTTTAGCTGCATAAAAATCTCAATTTGAATTGACTTTCCAATCAAAGGTCCTGTTTATGATTTCATATTATTACTGATATATATACTAATTTTGAACCCTGTGTGTCACAATGTGGGTTTTGTTACAGTATAACTCCCGTTATAATGACATTCTCGTCATACTGACATTTTTTGTTTGTACAGAGAGTGTTGTTATAACGGGAGTGACTTGTATTATGGTATTTCCAATAATTAATTCGTTGTTATTCATAATTAATTTCGTAATTATGTTTTTAAAAAGGAAAATGGTAATTAATTACGATAATTACGTACCTACGGTAATTATGCAGTTACCATCTCATGTATAGTGTTAACAATGGTTTGCATAGAAAATTTTCACAATAGTAATTAATTTGTCGCCCGTAATTAATTACGTAATTACGTTTTTAAAGAGTGAACGTGGTAATTAATTACGTTAATTACGAATTACGTATTTACGGTAATTAGCTAATTACCATATCATGTATAATTCTACTGCCACGAATAATAAAGAATTCTGAAAAAAAGAACAATGAACCAATGCTAGCCTATCTCGCATTATTTGTGGGGTGGTGCATAAATTAGATGTGTTTTTTTTAAACTTGATATGTTGGATATAATTCGAAAAATATTTTTAAGACTCGCAGTTGTATGCAATTGGGAATGGAGAATTGGTTCCTTAAAGTTCATTTTTGTATGGTTTTAGTATTGCTATACCTTGGGTAATGTAATTTATTTATTTTATCTATTTATTAATCTTTTATAAAATTTTTTCATCCAGATAAGGTCTTAACGGGTCGTAACATTCTAAAATTTCTCCCAGAACGTTTATCACTTATAAATCAGGAAATACCATTTATGGTATAATCCGCATTACCAGATAATGTCACCGTGATAAATTAGAATAATATAAATATATTTAAAAAAAATTTTTCATGTAAAAAAAAAAAAATGGACTACTCAGATAACGAACAAGAATATGAAAAACTACCAAGAGTTAATAAAAATTGGATAATTAAAGAATCTAAAAAACTTCCAATTAAATTACCTGATGGAAAACTCCAACACAAAATTCTAGGTGTCAAAAAAAAAATCTTATATATTCCAAAAAATATATCAATTTTACCAATTTATTAATTACTGATTTTATGATTTGATTAGAAAATAATGATGAGATGATAGTTGGCAATGTGGATGAATTGATGAAAATGGACGAGGAGGATAAAGAAGAAAATGAAAAAGATGATGATGAAAAAGAAATTATGGCTGATGATGATCAGAAGGAAAAAGTAATAACCAAAAAGGAATATATTATTCAAAAGAAAAAAGAATTGGGACAAATTGCTAAAAAGATTTTAGAAGATCCTGAAACTAATGTAATAATAAAAATAAATTATGTTTATTTCTTTTTAAAAAAAAACATGTGATTTATTATTATTTGAATTATTTGATTAGATTGGTAAACTAAAGAAATTAAGAGATATTGCAATGGATGATAATATCAAAATAAGAAAATTGGCACTTTTGACTCAATTAGTAGTTTATAAAGATATAATACCAGGGTAAAATGACAAATATTTTATTTAATTATTATTTAATGATTTAAATATGTATTTAAATAATTAATTATGTATATACAATATATATATATATTAGATATCGGATAAGACAATTAACCGATAAAGAAAAAGCTGTTAAGGTATCAAAAAAAGATTTTGTTAAAAAAAAAGACATGTTATAATAATTATGATGATGATAATGATAATGATGACGGCAATTTAATATTCCAATTAAGGTATCTAAAGAAGTTAAAAAGTTACGAAATTATGAACAAGATTTATTATCAAATTATCAGAAATATTTGAATTTACTTGAGGACTATATAAAAGGTATTCTTTTTTTATTTAATGATTTCTGGAAAAAATACCAAGACTCTTGTCTTCTAAAATACTTATAAAATAATTAAAAAAAAATTTTTCCTTGCAGAAAACTCAAAAAACCCGACAAATAACAATGATAATGATAGGAATGTGAAGGATCAAAAATCCCTAGTTGTCACTGCATTAAGATGTGTATGTGAATTGTTGACATCTGTTACTCATTTTAATTTTAGATTAAACTTGATGAACATTATTATTGGAAGGATGAGTAAAAAAACTTTTACTAAGGTAAGTTTATGTGTGTGCTATATATAAATACTAAATATTATTATGATTATTATTATTAATTAGTTTATTTCCTTGTTGTAGATGACAGCGATTTGTTGCGATTCTATAATTGAATTATTTAAGAATGATGAGTCAGGAGAAGCGAGTTTGGACGCAGTTAAATTGATGACAAAAATGTTTAAATTTAAAAATTATATTGTTCATGAAGAGGTTAGTCATATATGCAGAGGAAGAGAAAATCAATGAATATATAATATTAATAAATATATTATTATTATTATATACAGATACTTAGATCATTTTTGCATTTAAGATTAAAAGAAGAATTAAATTATAAAATGAATAATAATGATGACGATGGTGATGATAAAATTGGTAAGAAAAAAAGAAAAATGGAAAATAAGTTGGCATCAAAAAAGCATTTATCAAGAAAAACGAGAAAATGGGAAAAAGAAAAGAAGAAAAAAGAAATTGAAATGAAAGAGGTCGAGGCAGTTGTTGATAAAAAGGAAAAAGAAAATAGAGTAAGTAAGAGAGGATCGATTTGATTTGAGATAGAATTTTGTTTAATTTACAAATTAAGAAAAAATGACTTATTTTTTATTTTTTAAAAAAAAAGCAAACTGAAACTTTGAAATTAGTGTTTATAACATATTTTAGAATATTAAAACATGCAAACGGTTCAAATTTATTGTTACCAGTTTTGGAAGGATTAGCAAAGTTCGTATTACATCAAAAAGGCTTTAAAATTTTAAAAATTTAATTAATAACAATAATAAATTTTTTTGAAAATTGTGTAGATTTTCACATTTGATAAATATCGATTTTTTTAATGATTTATTAGAAGTTTTAAAAAAAATAATGGTTGACTGTATACCGGAAGAAGAGAATATGGCGGTGACAAAGAATAGAAAAATAAAAGTTGTTGGTAATTCTGGTATGGAAAGAATTGATACACGTAAATGTTTGTTATGCATCATTACAACATTTCAATTACTTTCTGGTCAAGGTAGAATGAATACGCTTTTTTAATTTTTTCTGTAATATTATAATTAAAATTAATTAATTAATTAATTAATTAAATTAATAGGAGAGGCATTGAATATAGATTTACAAGATTTTTATAAACAATTCTACACAATAATATTACCACTTGCTTTGAATCCAAACCTTGATTCTAAAATAAGAAAATCAGAAATGGTGGAGAATGATGGTGACGACGACGACGACGACGATGACGAATTGGGAAAAATAAAAATTAGTAATGAAATTAGTTTAACAAGTGAACAAGAATTATTAATGAGAGGATTTGAATTTATGTTTTTTAAATACAGACAAGTAATATCTATTTATAGCCTATTTGTAATTTTTATTTGATCAGAGAAAACATCTTAATGATCCTTTATGATTAAAAATGAATATAGATTCCTATTAACAGATCAGCATCTTTTCTAAAAAGATTATCAATTGCAAGTTTAAATTGGTCAAATGAAACAGTTTTAAAATGTTTAAATACAATAGAGAAAATGATCAAAAGACAAATTTGTTTGGAAACATTTTTATCATCAGAAGATAAGATTACCAACGGAATTTATAAACCTGATTTAAATGATCCAGAATTATGCAATCCTTTTGCTACAAGTTTATGGGAACTAAGTTTACTTGAAGTAAGCATGAAAAAAAATTTTTTTTTGAAACAATTGAAAAAATATTTTTTATTATTAATTAATTACACACAATATTTAATTAATTGATAGAATCACTATGACCCAAAAATTAGATCTAAAGCAAAACTGTTGATGAATTACAAACCAAAAAATTAAAAATTTTAAATTAGTTAATAATTCTCAATCTTCAAAAAAATAATAATTAAAATCAAAAATTAAAATAACTAATTATTAAAAAAAAAGGCAGAGAAATACAAAATATATTGTTCTTTTTTTTTAAAAAAAAAGCAATTAATTAATAATAATAAGTGGATTTTATATTTATATACATGAAAAAAAAAATGAATAAATGAATTTAATTGAATGAATGTATTATTAAATGAATGTTATGTGAAGGATAATAATTATTATTATAAAATTAATACAATTGTTAATATGTTAAGAATATAAATGCTGGTAGATAAATATATGAGTCAATGTCATAAAAAGAACCTTTAAAATACAATCTACTATTGTTGTTATTATTTTTAAGAAATAATCCGTTTTCTATATGCATAAAATAAAATTATAAAACCAATTCATTTTGCTATTGTTATTATTTCCTCGAAATAGCAAAAACACCCACTATTATAATTGCAAGAGTTACAAGCGCGCCAGGTAATAATAAATCCTTTGGAATTGTAAGATTAAAATCATCGTCACCTTTATTTACAAATAATTGAGATTTTCTTTTTCTTTTATTGGTGTTAATACTAAAATCATCCTCGTCATCCTCATTTTCAAAATAATCATCATTATTTATAGCTCTGGATCTTGGCGAAGAAGCAACTGATGATGATGACGATTTCCTATTTTCTTTGATTTCATTAATAAATAAAATGACTTTCGATGAATTTTGACGTTGAGCAATTTTAACAGCATCAAGTACATCATCCTCTGTTGAGATAGTTACATGATCTTCATCATCATCGACATATGAAATCGTGAAATCTTTTACAGATGATGGAAGTTTCGATAATACAGTTGAACGTATATTATCAAGGCTTAAGTAATTAACAGTGAAACGATGTGATTTACCATTTGGAGCTTTAAACTTAAAGGTGAAAAAGTTTTCAGCATGGCAATGAGGAAATGAAACAGCCGAGTTATCATCAATTACTGAGGCAGATTCACCGGGATGAATTTCAGGTACTGGAGAAACATTGCCTGAATTACGGACACTATTATTACGCATATTCGGTGAAGCAGGTGGTATATTTGATGCGCTTTGTGAAGGAGCTAGTGAATCTGATATTACAGAGTCGTTGTCATCACCGTTTTCTCCATTTACTGAATTCCAAAATTTGTTCCACATAGGACCTGAACCATTATCCGATCCACCATTTTCTTGATTTTGCATTGAATACATCTAATTAAAAAAAATATTATTATTTTCTGGAAAAGAATAAATATGTATGTATGTATGTATGTATGTACCTGTTCCAATGTTGCGTATGTTAATTTTAAAACATCCACCATTCCTATAATAGTTGTGCCTTCTACTACCGGTAAATTAAGGTAATGACCATCTAATATATTTACATAAATAAAATAATGGATAGATAAATATAAATATAAATATAAATATAAATATAAATATAAATATATTTGTAGATTCAATATTTTTAATAATATCATAATCAATATATATATCAATTAAAATTTGAAAATTGAACCCAAATATTTATTATTCTCCTGTAGGATGACGAGAATTGTTGTTTTAAAATATTTATGATACTCAGCATTAAGCACATATATTTTAATAAACAAACTCGCTTTATATAAGGAGTTATAATTATCACTATAATAAATTGATGATACTCACCGTGCATTTTTTTTAATGCTTGCAAAATACTGGTCATAGGAGGAGCAGTATCGGGATGTGGAGTCATTACTCTCACAACGCTACAAGTAGAAGGGTCCAATCCTGCAGCAATTACTCTTAATACAATATCCTTGCTAGTGAAAATCCCAGCAATCATATTATTCTCCATTACCAAAACAGCAGTTGTACGAAATTGTCTCATCATTCTAGCAGCATCTCTTACAGTAGTTTTCAAACCAACTTCAGCAGGCACTGAACCATCCAAAACGCTTGTCAAATCAGGACATGCCATTTTTTCACGTAGAACCGACATATATTGCATTATGGGAGACACTTGACCCGACGACCACTCCTTTTCAACACCTTCAAGAGCATCATATAATTTTTTGGATGAACCATATGCGCGCTCCATCTTTTCCAAAGCTTCATATAAACATTTAGTAATATCCAAAAGACCCACAACATCACCATCTTCATTACACACAGGCTATTGTTGTTATTAATGATAAATATAAAAAAATGAATATAATGATTTTTAAATAATAATAATTTTTATCATTATAACTATTATTAATATGCTTACAAGATGTCTAAAGCCTTTTTTAACCATTGTATTAAGAGCATCAGTGGCAGATGTATCACTTCTTACACACATTGGATCGGTAGTCATGATCTGTTTTACGGTAGTAGTTTTAGCATCTAAACCATCCCCCACCACTCTAAATGCTAAATCTTTTGCAGTAAATATTCCGGACAATTGTTCCTCTTCATCTATAACCAATACACAATCGGCACGTTTCGCAGCCATAAGTTGTGAAGCTGCAACCACCAAAGTTGTTTCTCTGACAGTTAATGCTTGTGAAGGCTTTAATGAGGAAACTGTTCCATTTTTGTTACATGGAATTGGTCTTGAATTTCTACGAGAATTCTTTTTAGCTAAATTTGATTCTGCTTTTTTACGTATTGCCTAATATTAAGGTTTAGAAAGATCACAGATTAAACGTCGTTACAAAAAAACCATGAAAATTGGATTATTATTGAAAATGTCATAATGGTCACGAGTAAGATTACCTCGTCCTTTTTTGAGGTTCTTTTACGAGCTACACCATCACCAACCTCATTATTATTGCCGTTTGGGAAATACCCGTTTAGGGAATGAGATGACGGGTAACGTGTTGGAGAAGAAGTTTTTCTTGTTCTAAAATGTGTTGTTGACATGTTAGGTTTTGGTGGTGATCTGTTTTATGAAATAACAGATGATAATAATAATGTTATTTTGCTATATTAAAAGAAGGTGTATTTTTTTTCTAAAAAAAATTTTTTTAAATTGAAATTCTTATAATTTATATAAATATTTTCCCAAACAAATAAAAAAATTATTTTTGATCGTCGTCATGCTCATATTTTAATATTAAATATTTAATATAATTAAAAATTTTTTCGGGGTATGAAAAACGTGTATGTCATTATGACCTATTATAATTTGTTACACGCACATAAAAATTTTATTCAAAACTATTAATAAACTTACCTCTTTCTCTCAATTGAAGGATTTCTCATTTTAAGCGAGGAATTATTTTTTAACAATTGAAAAATTTTTGAAAAAAATGAAATGAAAATGAAAATGAAAATGAAAATGAAATGAAAATTATTTTAAAGATATTGTTTCCTTTATATACATATATACAAAATTTTACATAGGGTCTATATATGTATACAAAACATATATATTATTAATGTGCATTAATTTTTTTTAATAATAATAGATATTCTTTAGAATAAAATAATATTTAAAGAATAAAAAAATTTGACTTAAAGAGGGAGATGTTATTGTTATATAGTATTATATTATTATTGTAATTCGGAATTTATCGAATATGCATATGGGGTTTGTACAACATAGCGGGCTTTCCCTGTGATTGGCTTATTTTATTTTGTGTAAAATGATGATCATTACTAAAATAAAATTTTTGCAATTTTTATTTTACCGTTAACAATATTTAATGTTAAGAAAAATGAATAATAAATAAAATTAACTATATAATAATAATAATAAAATACAAAAAAAAAAAGACATTCATTATTTAGCTCCTAAAATTTTAAATGATAATAAATGATTATTTAAAATTGAATCTATATTAGAGTTTAAAGAAATATTTTCATCATCGCTTGTTTCAATTATGTTATCTTCTCCTTCATCATTTTCTTCTAAGTCCAAATCATCAAAAGAATTAACACTATTTTGA